ATACTTTTAATAGCAGATTCGAAAGTTACTGATGCACTTTGGATACATTTTCGCTCCAAAAAATTTTATTGGATGAATTTTTGTCGAGAGATCCCATTTTTCATTCACATTTCAATTTACTATGTTGGATAACTAGCAAATTTTTCAGAACCATTTTACAAGCGATTTACTTTCTGACTTTAGTGCCCCCTATCTAACTAATTACTTATTCGTTCTGTCCAGTCTTTCCTCCTAGCTGAACACACTTCATTAATATTCACTTTTAGAGATGATTATGATTGTCTCAATGTCTGTACTGCCTTCCCTGAACACTGTAACAACGAGTGAGGCTTTAAATGAGTATATTGATTATGAATTATTGTTAATATTGTCATCTAAACATATTCATGTAATTTAGATAACGTCAAATCAACGAAGTCACATTAACCAAATATATACATTAACTCATTTTTTTTCTTTTTTTTTATCTTGTTGTTATATTAAATTTTTTATTATGGTATTTTTAGTTTTTAGTGCATGCTGTTCTTTATTTCCTTCTCTGTTGTGTGGGAATTCGATGTTTAAAAATTCTTTTTTTTCTAATAATAAATTGATATCTGATGTATATTTCAAAATTACTTTTGAAACAGAGTAGAAATATAAACGATTTCTATTTGTCAATGCATAAAATTGGATGAACTCAAGTCAAATGTTTAACCACGGACGAGCCATACCGTGAGAAGGTCATCCATTTTAACAGGCCCCTTGCGTTACTAGGGAAACCACCTTCTCAGTAATGCTCATTACGAAAAAGTATTTTTGCTAGTAAAAAGAATATATCAGAGTTGTTTCTTGTCTGACTCTGGTATAGAATAAATTGAAATCTTTCGGATTTATTTTTTGGAAAAAAAATAAAAATAGATGTCACCGGTGAGAAGTGCATCTGCTATTAATTGGATGAAAGAAACGTCTTTTAACCCCTCTGACAATATACCAAGTTGTTTATCTTAAGTATGATATATGATTGATTAAATGGATATATTTAATCAATGATTGGTGAATAATTTTATTTAGAATTTATACTAGCGGAAGAAAAGCTATTGCCTTATATATATATATATATATTTTTTTTTTGTTACTTCTTTACTGTTATCATTTTTATAGATATTTTCTTATAATTTTTATTCAATTAACAAATCAAATCTATTATGACTGAAGGCTATAGTTTTCTTCAATGTTGTATGTAACTTTTTTTTTTTTTGTCTTTTGTTAAATAATTTTCTCATTAACCTTTCATAGTATTTAATAAATATACTGAAACAGAATATTTGACTGAAGCTTGGATACCAATAAATGAAATTCTTAAACAATTTCTTCAAAATTCGATTGAAAATTTTAAACCAACATCATATCAAGCTATTTATTGGTATACAAATTGAAAGAGGGAGGATGAGGAGAAAAATTTATCCAAGTGTGATATTTCTATTTTAAATATTCTAGCAAAGTATATAAAAGTACATGTAAAGGTTATAAAGAACGATTATATAATGATTTAAAAAATCTTATTACAGAACATTGTTATAATTTGAAAATACAATTAGATGAAAATGTAAGATTTCAAAATTATTTTATTAATTAGAAATTATTGAAATTATTAGATAAAAAAAATAATTGATAATTGTTCAAATACTCATATGAACATTTTTATTCTTCAATTTATTGATTTTCTTCATCAATATCATCGAGCTATTCAAGTTATTGTTCCACTTTTTGTAAGAAATATTTATATATAAAATTTTATTTTGATTATATTTTATTTTTTAGCATTATCTTGTTAGTTTTCTTTTTATATATTGAAAAAAAAAAATATCATCAAATTTATTATTTTTATTAATCAAGGATGTTTCTTATGTTAGACCAAAAATGCGATCAACTATTGAACATGAATTATTATTTCTTTATAAAACAATTATTATCGAATATTATATTAATCATGTCTTTGGTAAAGAATTAAACATTTCAATTAAATTCATATTGAAATATTTCTTGTTGTTTTTTTTTTGTACAGCTGTTCTTCAACGGCTCATTAATACATCGGATAGTCCATCGATGGAAAGAATTGATTTATTATTACACTTAATGCATGATATTACACCAGGTATATACGTATGATTAATAATTTTTGTTTTTATTAATTAAAATTAATTTAAAATAGAATCTGCTGTGAAACAACGTGATTTATATAGACGATATTGCAATGGTGAAGATGTACTTAATGAAATAATGTTTAATGAAGAAGATATGATAACATCGGCGTCGTTCGTATTTCAATGAATATTATTGATCTTATCTAATTATTAATTATTTTCTAGGCGAACAGCTTCAAAACGATCAGTTGATGATCTACCAGGCGAAGAAGGTAAAAGAAAAAAAACAAATATTCTTTCACTACTATCGCCAGTATGAAGAGTGTGAGGAAAATTTGATTTCATCGTAATGCACATACAAGAAAATAAGTTTAGATGTTCAAGGTGTCTTTATGTTATCCTTTGGTAATAAGTTGATCGCGATGAAATATGAAAAAGCTGAAAAGAATTCGTACTCTCAGGTTGTTATCGCCAAGATAACGATTTTGCTGCAACAATTTTCTTCCATAGAATTCAATAAAATTTTGTTTTCGAATTCTCCACTATATCTATATACATCATTTTAGTATTTGTAAGAGTAATCTTTACGAGATAGAAATGTTTTGAAATATGCAGTAAAACCTCTCTATGTAACGACTTTCTTACACTTGGGAGTAAGCGCTTATTTATAGTCCCATAAACAATAACAACGCCTTGATAAACAATCATGGAACAGTGAAAAGGAGCAGCTCGTCATCTTTGTGTTAATAGCAAGTAACATTAAATCGTGTCAACACATGTTGTTTTGCCTCTAATTTAAAAAGTTGAATTAATTAATTATTGGAAAAAAGACAAAGAGTATCTTGTGCAGCCAACAAACGATTGCAATTGAACATTTATAAGTTGAACACAAGAAACTAAAAATCTCGTAAAGTGAGTAATTTTGGCTCGGTTCCGATGATGTTTACATGAGGAAGATTTTATGCACATTTCAAAACATTTAATATTACGTCTAAAAAAAAATTTGAAACTTTTTACATAACCAAGCCTAATGCAGATGTTTGATGTCAGCAATGTTTCAGGAGAAAATTCGACATGTCGAAGATAAAGGTCTAGGAGTATGCGTCACAACCTTCAGATGTTATTAAGATCTATATATGGACAAAATATGATGTTACAACGGCTTGAATATTTGTATGTATGCTATCGTTAGATGGAGATGAGGTCATCTCCACTTTTCATTTGATCTTGATTCTTTACAAGAGTTATTTTTCTGAGTAAGTTCTTTTAGCATAGATATATGGAAAAATGTTCGCTCTTTTCGCTAACTATTAATTCGAAAAGTAATTAGCAAACATCTCTTTAACCGTATTAGAAAAAAAAAATGAAAACTCCAGAATAGACTCTACGGTACCAACCGCATCGATGGTGAATTTTTTAGCAAAATTGAACTCATAAAAATACCAGTTTTCTAGAAATTCTAAAGATTTGTACCGTTTGAAATTGGTTTCAATTTCTCATTCAGTTATAAGAATATTTTTTCGTACGCCGTCACATTGCTAATGAAAAGTAAATCGATTTTTTTGACCTTAGAAGTTGTCTACATTTAATTTTCAAAAATGCTGTTTCAATTCAAAATTGTTTTTTTTTGTTGAAAACTAAAATGCGTCAAGTAAAAGTTGATGCTTTTTTTTTTACTGAACAAAGGTCTCTATTGCTGATTTTTTTCAGAATATCTAAAGTAACTTAACACACATGTAACGTATAAAAATCAACTCTAGGAAAGTTCATCATCTCGAAGTATACTTGTGTTTGCTTTGCGAAATCATGTTGCTAATGAATGACTCGACCGAAATGACACACTTATTTCATTATGTAAAAATATTTATTTAATTTTTTTTATTGTTTTAGATCAACCTTCAGCGAAGCGTACAATGAATATGATTAAATCTCCACATACAGATAATTAAAATTTTGATTTTGTAGTATTCATGTATAGTTGTGATATTTTTTCTTGACATATGCAATAGTAATATATGATTTTGAAGCTTATAAAAATATTCTATGTTGAAGAAAAAGAAAATAAAGTTTTACTTGATAAATGTTTTTTTTTCTGTTTATCTTTTTATAAATGAAAATATAAATATAATATGATCTTATTTAATTTTTGTTTGTCGATGATAGAATAAATCAATCGATCGAAGTTTTTGCATTCACATAATAATAATAATGTATTTGACGAGCAAATCTTTATACATATTCCGGATGTTTTTCTTCCATTCTTTTCAGAAAGAAAAAAGAAAATAAAATGATGTATTTCTTCAACAATTGTTACTTTTCAATTAATAGAAAAAAGCAAAACGCGAAAATTTTTTCTCGTGTGCATATAATTTAGTATCCTATTGCTTTTAATTTCTTCAGAACAAATTATCGTTATAATTACTGAGAAAATCATAAAGTAAAATTTATTAAATTACATATTAGATATATATTTTATCTACATAGAAAATTCCATTGATCTAACAAAAAAATCGTTATATTACATCTTGACATCGATTTTGTTATTACCATTCAAATAGAAAATATTAAAATTATGAATTATTTGAGTTTGTCTTTTGTATTTCTTGTATATGAATAAATGAAAAAAAAATATAAAACTAAGGATCTTTATTTTTCTTAGTGAACTACTGCCCTCTGAATTGAGTTGATGTTATTATTGGAAAGAGTATTTTTTCATGTAATTTGATTGCACAACGATGACTTACGGTTTGATGGAAAAAGAGAGGAAGAAAGAGAGTATTTTTGTGCATTCATCTTATTTATTCTGTTGTTTTTGTGATAATAAGAATTCTCTGAATCTTCATGAATCTTTGATTTAAGATATAAAAATCCATAATGGCAACGTCTATGTCAATGAATTGTTTGATTTCAGTATGTTTTAATTAAAAATCTAAGAATTATTATCAATTAGTTTTTCTAGCCAGAACCATTATTAGAACAATTTAATTGCCCAATATGTCTAAATATAATGAAAGATGTTTGGGTGACAACATGTTTTCATCGTTTTTGTGAAGAGTGTATTAAAGGTAAATTAGACAAAAAAAAAATCAATGAAAATTAAATTTGACTTTTATTTTTCTATATTAGAATCTATTAACACAAATCATCGATGTCCATTGTGTAATAAAGATTTACAACAAGATAACATTCAACGTGATGCTCAATACAATACATTACTTGGTTGAGATATTTACTCGTTGTGTTTTTTTTCTTTATTAAATAATCATAATTTATTTATTCAGAAACTATTGACAAGGCTATTCAAGATGCTGAAGGAGAAAAAGCAAAATCATTTGCTAATCAAAGTACATTATTTTAACATTTTTTTTTATAATCAATACGTTTTTCATTCTAGTTGTCACGCAAATCGGTGATAATTCTGTACGAGGAATTCTTGAAGAACTTTTTCGTGGTATTTTCATTTTTTATTTGTTCGCTTGAATATTTTGTATTTTGATATATATATTAGATACACTTGTAACTTCATTGGCAAATCATTTAACAAGTGAAAATGATATGCGAAGTCGATATAAACGTAAAAAAGCTGATATTGAATCAGCATATAATCGAGCTATAGTTGAACTTCAAGAAAAAAAATTATCAAAAGAAGGTAAGATTAAAGAAATTTTATTTTCATTTTATAATTTATTTTTCTATAGAATATAAAAAACAACTTGATGAAAAAACTGATCAATTTCGTCGAGAAATAAATGCACTTGACGAAGAAATCCGTAATGTTCAAATACTTTTTATTCAAGCATATAAAAAGTCAACTATTACAAAAATTAATAATAATAATAATAATAATAATAAAATATTTTTCTTCTTGTTTTAGTCATCTTGCAGAACATGTATCAAACTTTGGTGCTGTTTCAACACAGGTTCGAGTTACATTGTGGAAAGAAGATCATTTATATATGAATAAAGATAAACAATTTCCAATAAAATTAATGCGTCCTGAAGATCGGTAAATAGATTTGTGGGGATACGATAAAAATTGAATAGAACTTTGCTTTTTTTATGGAAACACGATCAAAGAGGAATGTTGAACTATAGAGATAAAAATTTGGATCTCTTCTTACAGACATTAATCAGAGAATGACTGTAAAAATCTCAGAAGATAAAATTTCGAACAAAGGAAATCCCGAAAGAAAAAAACTTCGAACTCTGAAGTATCGAATAAAATAGAATTTCGTATAATTAAAATTTTAAAAATCAAATCTCGAAAGATATGCTCTCATTCGATTACCACTTAGTTAGTTTCATGTGGATATTTCTACCAATTGAGAATTTTTCTTTCATTATTCGTTCATAAACTCGTGAAGGTATCGACGTGGATAAGAGTGAGTGGAGAGACTATCCAAACTCACACTCGAATACACGAACGATCTTTCTACATTAACCTTGTTACTGCATTGTTATGGATCTTTTAAATAAAATATTAAGTACAAACACATGTTGGTTGATTACCACATTGATATCAGGTGCTGCAAACTGCTCAAGAATTGAGTTTTTTTTGTGTCGTAACCTTGTTTTTTTTTTTTTAGGGATTTCGATTTTTCTTTTACATCAAATCTAATCCGAGACCATCATAGATCGTAACAGATGCTAATTAGAGACTATCACAGGCCGTATATCAATAATGACTCATTATAATATATGAATTGCTTCCTCATTACATTTCTGAAGGATTAGGTGGAATGGTAGTAGAGAAGTATGTCTCAAAATAGAAAGAGTAAAACACTGTCCTTGCGATTAGCAATAGCAACTACATCATATTTCATATTTTAATCCCACAGGGATTATACTAACAATTTTTTTTTATTTAGAATGGAAATATTATTACCAATATTAGATGAACTTGTACAATTACGTAATGATAAAATATTAAAATTGGGTGATACAATACTCTTCACTTGTATTAAGTATGAAAAAATAGATTTATTTTAATTAAATTTATTTGATATATTCAGTCCATTTGAGGATCTATCTGAACAATCAGTAATAAGACGACTTCAAAAAATGGACACAGATGATGATGATAATGATAATAGTATATTAACTGTATCACGTAATTGTCGACCTATCTTAGAACATAAAATAGTGAGTTATTTGTTTTCTTTTTTTTTTAATGAAAAATTATTTAAATAGTTACGAGGAACACTTGTAATTATTCATGGTGATGTTATATTAGATAGTGAAGTACCAAAACAATGTTTTATACAAGTTTATAATGAAAATCCACACCAAGAACATCTAGTTGATTATTTTGAATGTAAACAATGTTTAAGAAATGGACAACCAATAAGATGTATGAATATAGATTTTAAAAATATTTTTTAACAAAAGCTTGTTTTTTTATTTAGGGATTTGTAGATCTTGTGCAGCTGTTTGTCATAAAAGTAAGAAAATGATTTGTTGAAAGAACAATATTGAATTAAGAGAAAAATAAAAGCGTTGTTTATTTCGCTTATTTCGTTTTTTATGAATAGACTTGTAAGAAGGAATTTGTTAGTATGGATCTAATTTGAACTATGTATGGGTGATTCCATGATGCTCCTACCACGTTTACAGTGACCCCGTCTAAATTCGTTGAAACTTGCAGGGTTTGTAGAGTTTTTAACGCTGATCATTTTGGTAATAAAATAGTTGGCACTTTATAATGAAATGAGGGAGAACGATTCAAAATACTGAACGCACCAATTTTAGCCGAAAAAATGACTTTCCAATGAACTTGCTCATTTTCTGTTTTCATATTGAATTTTTGAGCATGGATTCACGTACCTCGAGTGAAAATGTATCAGAGCATGTATAATAAACATTCGTTTATCTCTCATTATATGACACTCCACGTCACAGACAAAGATTTAGCTCAGGGAATGTTTTGAAAAATTTCGTATATAAAATGGAATTCCCGGAAACGATGGCATATATGGTTTGATAGAGCGAGAGCTACTCTATCGATCCGTATATTTCTTTTTTATGGGAATGAGATTTGGGTACGAAACAGGATTGAAAAAGAAAATGTATGTTTTTCTCGGTGGATATTTGAGCCACAATGTACAAAAAATAATCTATGATTTGGATGACGTTTTCAGTATTTGTAGAGCTTTAAATTCTGAGCATTTTGGTATAAAAAAGTTTTAGAAATACTTTTGTTTTGATGGAATTATAGTCAAAATACTGTTAACAGCAAAAAACACGATCTCCGACACACTTTTTATTGTAACATATTTATGAAAAAGTGTTTTGTTACACTAAAACAAGATGAGAAAACAAATCTAAGAATATTTTCGGACGCTCTGTGAGACGGCGCATCGAATCATACTCGGTCAACTTCATTTTTGACGGATACTGTGATAACATGAGTCCTGATTGCTCATTGGCCGCTCAACATAGTCCTGTCTATTATCCGCCACCATCCTAAACTGAAACAATGTTCGTAAAAAATGAAGTTGAGCGAGTATGATTCGATGCGCCGTCTCACGAAGTGTCCGAAAATGCTCTTAGATTTGTTTTTTCATCTTGTTTTAGTGTAACAAAACACTTTTTCATAAATATGTTACAATAAAAAGTGTGTCGGAGATCGTGTTTTTTGCTGTTAACAGTATTTTGACTATAATTCCATCAAAACAAAAGTATTTCTAAAACTTTTTTATACCAAAATGCTCAGAATTTAAAGCTCTACAAATACTGAAAACGTCATCCAAATCATAGATTATTTTTTGTACATTGTGGCTCAAATATCCACCGAGAAAAACATACATTTTCTTTTTCAATCCTGTTTCGTACCCAAATCTCATTCCCATAAAAAAGAAATATACGGATCGATAGAGTAGCTCTCGCTCTATCAAACCATATATGCCATCGTTTCCGGGAATTCCATTTTATATACGAAATTTTTCAAAACATTCCCTGAGCTAAATCTTTGTCTGTGACGTGGAGTGTCATATAATGAGAGATAAACGAATGTTTATTATACATGCTCTGATACATTTTCACTCGAGGTACGTGAATCCATGCTCAAAAATTCAATATGAAAACAGAAAATGAGCAAGTTCATTGGAAAGTCATTTTTTCGGCTAAAATTGGTGCGTTCAGTATTTTGAATCGTTCTCCCTCATTTCATTATAAAGTGCCAACTATTTTATTACCAAAATGATCAGCGTTAAAAACTCTACAAACCCTGCAAGTTTCAACGAATTTAGACGGGGTCACTGTAAACGTGGTAGGAGCATCATGGAATCACCCGTATGCAACTGGTTTGTACCAATCCTAAATAGATTTTTGTAATGTTTTTTTCTATATAACATTTATCAAATCATTAGTTTCTTATCGATAAAACAAATTGAGATATTCTAATATTAGAAGAATTATTTTAGAAGATTCTTATGAATTTCGTATTTATTGAATTCAAACGATCACTTTTGTCTGTAAATATGATGGTCATTATGAGAAAAAGAAGTTTAACATACTCGAACGTTCAGTTAGTAATAGCAATGTATAAAACCAAGTTTTTTCGATCTAATCTCAGTAACTTCTTTTCTCACGGTTCCAGTTCTAACTTTAAGAATGTTATCTCATACATGAAAGAATTCGCTCAGAATCAATAAACTGATGAAAGTACAATGTCCTATGATTTTGTCAACGAACTAGAAAACGTTCCCAGATATCAATTCGCTTTTGAGTTGAAATTAACTGCATCATATAGGTTCAAATGAGCTATGAATACTTTGAAAAGAGCTTGTGTTCATAGCTTCTTGCTGCTGAGTTATTGAATTTTTACGGTATGTTTCATCACCATGTCGTGGTTCTCACTTAGAAACATCAGAAAAACTAAATTTGGAATTTAGACATCGAATTTTGCACAGAGAAAGATCTCAATGAAAACAGTTCATCGTGGAAGTTGTACATCTTTTCATTGCTGCTTTTCTGAAATAAGAACATCGAAATCTGCAAGTGTATATAAATGATGTGAAAAACATGGTTTTACTATAACTCGATCATCAGATAGAAAGAACGAAAAGATGTGTAACTGTCACAATAAACTATTCTCATTAAAACTCTCTTCTGTGCAAAGTTTCAAGTCGGAATTCGAAAATCATTTTTTCTGTTACCATGACATTCACTACAAAACTATCGTAAATAAGATATGTGCGTGAACCTTTTTCAGAATACTTATAGCTGATTCAGGCTTATACAATCTATAGAGATCCAAGTCAAAAGCGTATTGACATCCAAAAAACTTTCTCTCTCATAAGACTAATTCCAAAGATTTCAAAGAATGAGAATATAAATGAAAATCGAAAATACTTCTTTACTGTATTTCATTGATTTATATATTATATTAATAGATCATGGTGTTACTCCATTAATATTTGAGAACAAAGCTCGTGGGTAAGATTTAATTCAATGACAAACAAAATCATTTTAACAATCAACTTATTATTTATTTTTCTATATTTTAGACCAAAATGTGATTGTCGAAAAAAGAATTGTCATATATATCCACGAAATTGACTACAATAAATTTTTGTTTTTGAAATCTAATATTTGTTTTCCGTCCTTTGTTTCTATGATAATATTTTTCTATTTATAACGATAATTTCGATCTAAATATTTTCTTTTCTTGTACGTATGTTGATTGCATATATACATTAAAAAAATCAATTTTAACATGAATATATTCTTTAACGTTAAAGAAGAAAAAAAACGGTTAAATGAAAAAAAAAACAAGTGATAGATATAAGAAGCAGATAAACGATACTTTTCTTTACCAAAACAACAATTGTATTCATAAAAAAAAACAAGAAACAAAAATATACACATTGTCTTCGAAAAAAAAAAAGATGAGAAATATTCTGTTCAGATTTATATAATGTACCTACAGGAATGTTAAATGGAAAGAATAGATCTTTGTGACTAGCAGATTCGTAATGAGAAGTAAACAAAAAAAAAACAGGCAACACCAATAAAATATTGCAGATAAAAATTTTCACTTAAATAAAAAATAAAAAGTTAACAATTACGATCAGCTTCATCACCAGCAATTTTTCCGATAGCATCTGGATTTTGAATTGGATCAAGTTCAGCAAATAAATTAAGCCAATTAGATTTATCATTAGATTTTCCTGTTGTTGATGGTGGTGGTTTTGGTTTTGAATTTGTTGTTGATGATGATGATGATGATGCTATTGCTGGTTTATTGGTTTTATTTGCTGATGATAATAATTCACTAAGAAGAGATGATGGAAGAAAATTATTATTTGATCCACTAGAATTATCTTGAATAGTAGATGTTTGAAAATTTTGTTGATTTAATGTATTATTATTGCCAAATGCTGCTGTCCAGTCAGCATCAAAACTATTACTTTCATTTATTCCAAAAAGATCTATATTGATATTATTATTGTTATTGGTTTCAGATGATAATGGTGAAAGAAAATCAGAGAAAAATTTTTCTTGTTCAGTAGATGAATCAAGTAAATCAACAAGATTATCACCACTAGTTGATGTACTTGGTGTTGTTTTTGTATTAGCTGCTGCTATTGCAGCTTGATCTATAGTAGTTAATTTTTCTATTTCAAGAAGTTGATCATCAAGTTGAACATCTGATATATCAATTAATGCATTGATTGGTTCAATTGGATCAATAGTTTCTTCTACATATTTATTTAAAAAAAAAGAATTTAAATTTTATTCAATAAATTTTCTTACTCTTTTGAGTAACATCAGTCGATATTGTTTCTTCTTTTGTTAAATTATCGATTGATTCATTAATATCAATAAGTGTATCATCATCTGTTTTTGTTAGTTGTTTTTCTTTTTTAACTTCTTGTTTTGTTTTATCCATGAATGAACTTGAATTCATTTCAGCTAATAATCGACTTGGTTCAGCAAGATCTTTAATAACAGTAAATTCATAATGTTGATAACCTTGAAATGATTCAGCAACAGCTGACATTATTTTTGATGTTTTAGCCCAAAAGCTAAGTAAATTTTTTTGATAAGCAGCTAATACATGTGAATACATATTGCTATGAAGAACAAATAAAAATATTAAAAGATAATGATATGAGACTATGACTTTTAGAATATTTGTCTTAAAGCTTAGAAGAAGTCAATGTATTATATTCTCTTATTTCGATTAGTAATAGAAAGTTATAAAGGAAAAGAATTAAAAGAATATTTCTATTGGGACTGATAATCTATTATAATGAAAAATAACTGTCAAATTTAATTTGTTTAAATAATTTTTGTTTTGTCGGAATAAAATTATTTTATTAATTTAAAAAATTATCGTATATTTGTTTAGATACGAAAAACATATTTTAATGAAATCCGAACTAATGTAAAAAAAAGCAAAACTCAAGATGATAAAGACTCATTATAAGTTTTCATAACAGTCTTAAACATTTAGCATCTTTTTTTTTGTTAGTGTTTTATCCAATACGAGAGTGGTGCTCCTTCAAACATCGAGGTGCCCTTCCTGAAAGTTTGTAATTCTTCTACTATATAATGCTTTCAAAAATAGATGTACACTCTCCCGACGTTTTAAATTGTCCTTTCAGAACAGAAAATCCCGATAATGAAACACTGTTATTTTTTCGTTTGACAAACTTTCTAAAAACAAGATATAGTAATTAAAGTACAAACAATGTCTTTTTTTACTAACCATCGACTAGCTGTAAGTAAATCAATTTTTTGTATAACATCCGATTTTAATCGTTCATATTCAGTTTTTGTTGTTTTTACTTGACTTTGTACTCGACGAAATTTTTCTAATTGTTTTTCTGGATCAAGTTGTACTGATGCATCTTTTAACCATAAAATACTTCCACGATATTCTGTTCTTGCTGTTTCCATACGTTTTACTGTTGCTAATGTATCTGTTACTGCTCGATGACGAAATGTTTCAATTTCATTATGTAAACGTAACAATGGTTGTCGTAATGTTAAACGTTGTTGTGCTGTATAAGCAAGTACTTTTGATACACTTGCCATCATTTTACCTGCACGAGTTTTATCCATTTGTGCATAATCTTTTAAAAATCTAGCCATATCTGTTTCTTCATGAGAAAGAAAAAGAACATTTTTTTGATACTGTTCCATAATCTAAATAACATGATGATTTGATTAAGAATATCAAATAAATAAATAAACATACACGAAATAAATCATGACATGATCGTTTAATTGTATAAAGTAATTCAAGTTTAGCATCAACATCAGCATCCGATGCAATTATAAATTCATCTTCTTCACGACCAAGTTTTTTAATAACAAGTTGTTTTGTTGTCCAATATTTTGAACGTAATTTACCTAAACTTGTTCGATCTTGATGTTCAGCATATTTATCATATGAAAAATTATTCGAATTTTTATAACTCATTTTTTATATATAGTACGTTTCTTGTTGGAAATAGAAAGTAAATGACGACAAAAAAATAACACCTTGAATCATTCGATTTTTTTTCGCTCTTATTCATAAAAAGAAAAAAAAAATATTTTTTTATTCAAGCCAATAGAGTATTTTCTTTCGACCTCTATTGAATGGTTTTACAATTGGTTACAGAATCCAAACGAAGAAACACACACGTCACTTAGAATAAAAGACGAATTGGATCTTTAGTAGAGTTATAAGTATATTATTCTAATGTTATTTTTCTTGAACTTTTTGTTAGATATTGAATTTTTCTTCGAATAAAATAGGATAGAGTAAAATAGCAAGTTTTTTATTTTATTTGAAACTACCATTACATATGACCAATCAGTAGGTACTTCATAAAATTAATAAAAAAAAATGAATTCTATACAAAGGAATATATGTCAACAAACATTGTTTTATCCAGATTTTCTCTTCCGGAAGGACGATTTAAAACTCCGAGAGGGCAAACACTTATCTTTGAGTGCACAAACCTACAGTATATGGTAGAAGAACGACACACGCCAGGGAAGGATTAATCCGATCTTTGGAGAAACTAGACTCTCACACTGAATAAAACACTGGTTAAAAAAATAGAGCTATTTGGAAAATGATTTTTATGCATGTATATTACTAATATAAATTGAGTTTGATGTAATTTTAATTTTAGATTTATATTTATTATTATAATAAGAAAGAAAATGAGTCAATTAGGACAAGTTGTTGGTATTTTACGTAAACTTAATGATGAATATCAAATGAGTACACCGAAAAAATTAAAATTAATTGATGCATATTTAGTTTATGTTTTATTAACGGGTATTATTCAATTTGTTTATTGTCTTCTTGTTGGAACATTTCCATTTAATTCATTTCTTTCGGGTTTTATTTCAACAGTTGGTTCTTTTATTTTGGCTGGTAAGATTTTTCATTGTTGAATGATGAAGACTTTTTAATAAAATTTATTCTTATTTTGTTTTTTTTTGTAGCAAGTTTACGTATTCAACTAAATAAAGCAAATCAATCAACATTTAATGTATCACCAGAACGAGCCTTTGCTGATTTTGTCTTTGCTCATGTTATTTTACATTTAGTTGTAATGAATTTTATTGGCTAAAATGAAGTACAAAAAAAGAAAATAGACATTTAACAATATATTATCACTCTTGGGTGTTTCTGTTGTTTTAGCTTTCTTTTTTTTTGTTCTCGTAGTTTCATTGTTGATTTTTCTTTGTCTTTATTCTCTTGTTTTTTGTTTTCATTGACGTTCATTATGTTAAATGAAAAATAAAATAAAAGAAAGAAGCGATTATTCAAAAAAGCAAAAAAAACTAGTCACTTTTCAATTAGCATAATGAATTGTAGTAAATGTTGGGAAATGAATTCTATTCAAATCTTAAATCAAAAAAAATATTTTCATATGGACAAGAGATTAATAGTTAATCTCTTTTTTTTACTGCTTTCAAATTATGCATTAAGGTAATCGATGATTAACAGATAATAAATAAAAAGTAGATAATTTATTTCTTCATTAATCAATTTATAAAACAATATGAAGATTGGAATAAAATATTTTCGATTTCAAGATAGATTTTCTCAATTTACCGTTCCTAGACAAGCAATATATATCTATTTAAAGAGTAACATCTAAGCTATTCTTGAACAGAAACTTCACTCAATTTGTATCAACTGTAAGAAAGTAGAACATCGATGAAAAAATTGAAAAAATTCTATAAAAGTCATTTTTTATGTTTTTTCTGTAAAGAACTACCTATTCAATGTTTTTTGCACATCTCTGCCTCGTTGATATGAGGAAAAAAACGTTTACTTGATTAAAAGGGGTTTCTTTTTATGTAGTGAAGTTTTAACACATTTATCAAGCAACAAATGATGATTTGACGTAGGATATCTTAGGTCAGGATTCGCTCCAGAAAACTTTCCAAAATAGTCTAACAACTTTCCAAGTAGAACTCGACGAACTCTATCCAACCACATAATTCATTTTTCTCTAGCCGCTCCCCCCTCAAACCACGAAAATCCCTAAATATCATCAGAAAAACGTGTAAAATGCAGACAGTTCTGGAAAAACTTGTCGCGATTCGCCCAGGAACGCTTTCCAACTTAATGATTGAGTTTCCAGGTAGATCATGGCGAGCTCTATCGAATGCATATCTGTGGTACCCCATTTCATATTCCTCTCGCTCTCAAAACCTTCAATCCGCACCAAAAACCAGGTTTTTCAAATAATACTGGTTGCGATTCGCTCGGATGCACTTTCCAGCGAAACGATTCAACTTTCCAAGTAGATCTCGACGAGCTCTATCGAATGGACACCTTTGGAACTCAATTTGATAAACCCTTCCCTTCAGGAATGGTCAATCACAGGTTCGATCCGTAGATTTCTCCTAAGATCTGAAGAGATTCGCCCAGGAGTACTTTTCAAGCCAAACATATAACTTCCCGACTGGATGTAAACGAGATCTATCGAATGTACATCATTCGAGCTTGATTCGATGCTCCCCTTCCCAGAGAAACGTCTAATCCAGGGCTCAATTATACAGTTTTTCAATAAAACCCGAACTGATTCGTCTAGAAGTGCTTTTCAATTGAGACATTTGGCTTTCCAAATAGATCTCAACGAGATCTATCGAATGGAGACCCTTAAAACTTCATTGGACCCGTTCTTTCTGAGAAGAATGCTTGATCCTTGGCCCAATTGTTCAGTTTTTCAAGAAAAACCCGAACCGATTTGTCCAGAAGTACTTTCCAACAGAGATATATAACTTTTCAAATAGATCTCAACGAGATCTATCAAATGGACGTCCTTAGAACTTGATTCAATGCTCCTCGTCCCAGAAAAATGTTTAAGACAGGGTCGAATTTTCCAGTTTTTAATAAAAGCCGTAAGGATTCACTGAGAAATATATTCCAACTGGGACATATGACCTTCTAAACAGATCTAAATCAGATGTATCGAATGGGCAGCTTTGGAGTACAACCAGATGTTCCTAACGAAAGGAAATCAGTAAAAACTAGCCGAAATCCTAGATTGTTCCGTAAAACTTGTCAGGATTCGCTTAGCAGGACTTCCTAACGTTCTCGTAGAACTTCTGAATTAGAGCCCGACGTGCTCTATCGATTGGACAGTTTCCGAGCTCAATTTGATGCCTCTGCCTCTTAAAAACCTGTCATTTCCTGTGAGAAAGGACCTGGTCAGAAATCATCGATTTTTCCTCACGCTGGAAACCCTTTAAAATGAAAGTACTCTACGACCATATAACTGCTCTGATATGAGTTTCTCAAAATATTTTCCCTTTTGGAAATAAATACTATCAAAATGTCATAATTTTCAATGGTTTCTACACGAGAGAACTGAACAGCTAAGTTTAGGTAAGTCCTAAGATTTAAATCATATTTTTCAATAATATTTAGTTGCATTTATGGTAGAGGTATTAACTACTAGTTTTTTTTGTAATTAAGTGGATATGAATACTATTTACATCTTATTAATCGAAACATACATACAATATTTTGAAAAAACTAGATAGACCTGCTTTTTTTTGTCCTTAGCTGTTACGTTAAATAATACAGTATTTTATATGTGTATAAGAGGTGAAAAAAACACTTGTTCACAGTTCATATAGATCATTCTTGCGTTCTGTTGTTCATATATATTCAACCGTTAGAAGAAAAAATATAGATTTCTCTTCAGAGTTTGATATGTATGAATAAAAAAAGCAAAAGTAATTTAAAATACTATAGTTATCTGTAATTTCTTATATTATTATTTGTATTTATCTCACATATTAATTTTGCTGATGTATATACTTATAAAAATCATCAATTGATCTGATTATTAATTACTTTTCTTATGCAACATTAACTTTCACTTGTTTCTCAAGCTTGTGTCGTTGCTACAATTCAAGTAATTCAACATTTATTATGACATTTCGTGTTCCACTACATCCCCAAAATCGAATATGTATTTCGTGTGGTACACAAATCGGTTTTCCAAATGATAGAAAACGAGATAAAAGAATAAAAATAGCACTATATGATTAAATATAATAAGAAGAAAATATTAATTGATAAAGAAAAAAATGACTTGAATCGTACAGATAGTTCACTTTATAATATATCTGTTGAAGAATGTCAAATATTATGTGGTTTACTTCCTGATCATATTAGTGATATTGCTCGAATTATACATCAAAATCCACAACATATATTTGAATTTTTTACAATATGTAGACAAAATATGAACCAACGTGCAGCGGCTGTATTTTTTGGATATAAAACCCATGCATCGATATCTTCACATTTTAATCAAATATTGGGATCATTATCAAATGATTTTGTACCAATTTACATTGGAAGTAGTGCATTTACAAGAACAGATATACAACGAAATACACCTGATTTATTTAAAAAACTATTTCCTGGTGTTGTTGGCATTATAGATGGAATTTATCTGTTCTGTCAAAAATCCAAATGTTTTGAATTACAGAAAAAAACTTCGTCGGAACATAAAAAACGAAACCTTATCAAAATTTTGGGTGTTCGATTTGCTAATGGAAGATGGTTCGATTTAATGGGGCCATTCTATGCTGATGGTGATCACAATGATGCCTCCATATGGAAATTATATCGTGAAAGAAGATATTGGAAGGATTCATGATATATTTGATGAAAGAACAGATGAATTTATTGGTGATAGAGGGTTTAGAAACGTAGACAATGAAAGATTTACAGTTCGCATACCACCTTCATTAGCAAAAGATCAAGTTCAGTTATCGACACAAGATGCAAACACAACGAGAAAAATAACAAAACTTCGAAGTTGTATTGAACGTGGATTTGGTCGGTTGAAGAAATGGAGAATAATTGGTACTGTTATTGATAACAATTTAATTTCTAAAGTTGATTCATTATTAAGGATACTAAGTGCTATTGATAACAACTATTTTGAATCATTATTCGCTCCAGCTGATAGTGATGAACAAGATGTTGAATTTATCAAACATCGTGAAGTTATTTCCAATATTCTACAGAATCTACCAACAACACTGTAAACAATAGGCGTAGAATAATAAACCCTTCAAAAGGGTTTATTAATCTTATAAACGCTTTCATATACCCTTTTAGTGTCATAAACCATTTCAAATACCCTTTTTCTTCATAAACCCTAGGAAGGGCATATTATTCGTTACACTTTCATAAACCCTTTAGGGTGTATGAGCTGTAATATGCCCTTAAAGGATGTATTAACTTCATAAACCCTTCGGAAAAGGGTTTTTTATTCTACGGTTTCTTCTAAATGGCACATTAATAAACGTTTTTCCGAAGGGTTTATGAAGTTAATAAACCCTTTAAGGGCATATTACAGCTCATACACCCTAAAGGGTTTATGAAACTGTAACGAATAATATACCCTTCCTAGGGTTTATGAAGAAAAAGGGTATATGAAATGGTTTATGACACTAAAAGGGTATATGAAAGCGTTTATAAGGTTAATAAACCCTTTTGAAGGGTTTATTATTCTACGCCTATTTTTTACAGTGAAGCCAATGGATCACAAGACAAGTTCACGAAATTGTTGATTTTATACCAGCATTAACATTAGAAACTATTCGAGATTATGGATTAGGTGATTATGCATTAAAATTAGCTATTCCATATCTACAACATGCAACAGCTATATGTGTTAAAACACATAAATCAAAGCAATATTCAAATGTTATTAAAGTAGAAGGTATAAAATCAAGATATTCGAAAAAGTCTGCGCCAAAACATCATATAGTATTTCTTCAATTTGATAATGACAACTGGGAAAATGATTATACATTGTCAAGTGACTATGATAGTGACTATGAATCCTTGTTAAATATTAAATGTATTAATTCATATTGTTCTTGTAAATCAGGTGCACGTACGGTTGGAGCGTGTGCACATGTTATTGCAGCTTTATATTAGTTATATTGCAACATCAAAGATGTACCAATACCTGGTTATAGAGCTAAATCAATTATCTTACAACAAAATATCACAGATCTCCAACCGTTCAATCAACATCGACGTGAACAAAAAAGTAATAAAGATGACATACATGATACCAATGAAGATGAATCATCCAGTGATGAATTTCTTGAAGATAATAGACGTAAAAAGAAAAGAACTTATTGATTGTTTTATACTGTGAAAAAATTATTGATTTCTAATATTTTATTAATGAAGATGTTCGAATAGATTGAAACTAACATTTTTTTTCTAAGTGAAAATAGAATATATGATTTATATTATCTAGATAAATAGACTTATACACAAAAATCGTCTGTTCAACTTGAAATACTATTAGTGAATAATAGCTCTACTATGAATGCAACTAAATATTATTGAAAAATATTATTTAAATCTTAGGACTTACCTAAACTTAGCTGTTCGGTTCTCTCGTGTAGAAACCATAGAAAATTATGACATTTTGATAGTATTTATTTCCAAAAGGGAAAAGGTTTTGAGAAACTCATATCAGAGCAGTTATATGGTCGTAGAGTACTTTCATTTTAAAGGGTTTCCAGCGTGAGGAAAAATCGATGATTTCTGACCAGGTCCTTTATAAAAATTCCTTTTTCATTTTCTTCTTTCAATTATGTCTCATGTATATGTGTTACTATTTAAAACGAACAGTCGATAATTTTTTTTTGTGTTCTTCTTTCGTTCAGTCATCACTCTTATAGCATGATATTGAGTGCACGACATCTCACTTATTCTTACACATTCCAGCTGAAAAGAAAAATAAATTGAACATAACCTGTGTAAAGACGACGTTGATATCGTGCACTCAATATCACAGCATGCGTCGAAACAACCTGTTGTCGTCATACGCTGCGTATTGTAATTCCGTCCACGCCGTCTTTCATCGCGTTTTTGTGTTTCTTCTCGTTCTTCGTAACAGAAGAACAAAAAAAATTAAAACAAAAGGAGCTTTTGAGGGTGGCTCTAAAACAAAATGAACCTTCCCAGGGATATCCGACGTTCTGTTGGTAACCTGTACAGGCGTGCAGATGATAGGCCTTCATAAAATACATCTATGTATGATTGGAAGCATCCATCTGATCATCGTCTTTCCGAAGATGATGATCATGGATGCACTAGGCATACATACATAAATGTATGTTCGCCCTATCATTGCCGGCTTTGTCTACTGTACAACCCAACAGGATACGGAGGGTATCCCTGGTCGCGGGTGCGCGAAATTCTGGCCATTGGTGTGCTTCGGCAAGCCAAACGTGTTCAAAAAGGCCATTTTATTTTCTTGTTTAAAAGAAAAACAATTACATTTTCTTTTTTACTCGTTGAATGTTATTTTGTGACTTCTTAATCTTAGGATGCTGTGGTGGAAGAGACTTTTTGCGTATATCGCATGCTCTTTGTAGAAAGGACAGTGATTTTATGTAGTCATCTGTATTTTCATGAACGAGACCAATGTTTTCGTAAGTATCAGCCAAGCCGGGATGATTCGGAGGGAGAGCTATTTTTTGGATTTCAAGTGATCGCTCGTATGATGACAGTGCTTTCGAGTACTCCCCCATGCTATAATACGCCGAACCGATGTTGTTGTAGGAAGAAGCCAAGTTGCGATGATTCGGAGGGAGAGCTTTCAGACTGATCTCCAGGTCTTTTTCGTAGTATGTAAGTGCTTTCGAGTACTCGCCTATGTTATAATACACATTACCGATGTTGTTGTAGGAAGTAGCCAAATCTGGATGATTCGGAGGGCGAGCTATTTTTCGGATTTCAAGTGATCGTTCATACGATGAAAGTGCTTTCGAGTACTCGCCCATGTTATCATACACCAAACCGATCTGATTGTAAGTAGTAGCCAAGTTGGGATGATTCGGAGGAAGGATTTTTTGTTCAAATTCAAGATCTTTTTCGTAATATTTAAGAGCTTTCGAATTTTCGCCCATATCTTCATACACCCTGGCAAGTTGAAAATAGTATTCCGATCTTTCTTCGTCAGAAGAGGCTTTTTCAAGGAGTAATTCATAGAGATGTCCTGCTTTTTCAAACTTACCCACACTAATGAGTATATCGCCAAATCGAGACCATCCTGTGGTCCATGTAAATTCTTCGCGTAAATGTGCTGTAAGCTTGTTAAAATCATCATCTTGATTACCAGCGAGGGTGAGATTGACTTGCCAGAGACGATCTGCATGCTTATCTTCAATACGTTCTATACGATCGATGCGAAAAATTGTATGTGTCGAAAAAAGAATTTCTTCTTCTTTGTCGTCATAAAAGCCAACTCCTTTGACATTGACAAAAGGTGTTGATGAAGCTGTGCAAATAACCGTATCGATGTTCATAATGAAGAGGATGCCAACTGAATCTGCATCGAATGCTGCCGGTCGTGCAAAGTTTTTGAAGGAAATATCACAATTACGACTGGTCGATAAGAAATTATTAAACGACATAAGTCCACCTTTGGTTTTCTTCATTTTTTCAAAGGCTTTCATGGATAAGCCTTGACCACGAAAAACTTGAAATTTTGATGGCATGGCCGCTTTGCTGTTTTGCTGTTCACGATGTAAGTCTGCAATATGTTGATGTAGATGGCGGATGAAAAAACCCATTTTAAGAATAATATCGACATCCATTTGTCGAAGACCACGATATTCACGTTCGATTAGTTTAATTTGATCTTCAGATATATCTTCTTGTTCACGACAGTATGTAACAAGATCTTTGATAGATTTTCTATCGTCATCTTCGATTTCTAATAGTGCTTCCTTTAACAATTGTGTATACATGAACAGAGGATCGAGACCATTAAAACTAACCGAGATCGTAGCTTGATCACATCGTTGTCGATCAATTTCTAGAGCTTCACAAATTGGTTCGATTTTTGTGTATACGCCTTTGATCTTCGGTATCTTATAGGCCCATTGTTTGTGGTACGATTGATTACTACAAAAAACATACACGGTTTCTAATTGTGGTATGGCTTCCATTTCTGGTGCTATTTTCTGTCCAAGTGAACCCGATACGATCATAAATACTTTTTCCTTAGTAATGCCTCTAAGATAATCGAAACATTGTTGAGAATCGGTGAATGTTGTAATGGATGCTACAATTCGTCGTAATTGTTTTAATGTGTTTTGAAAATCTTCCTTTGACTCGTCAATATTGGCATCGAGCCAGACGAGAAGAAAATTCTGAATAATTCGACGAGCAGGTTGGGGAAGCGCAGCACTTCTGCCCATCGTTGACACTGATGCTGCTGTTGTTGATGATGATATTTTCTTTGGTTTATTTGTTGTGGACGATGAAGAAGATCCACTAGCAGTTGATTTTGAATGTTGCTTTTTGTCCATTTGGATGATGTTGATAATAATAATGGTGTTCTGTTTTTCGTAAATGAATGAATAAATAAAAATCTAAATACTTGTTGGATGATGATGAAAAGAAAGAATGGGCAAAAACAGAATTCGTCTCTTTCTCTCTGTACATAGCTTTTATTTTGGTTTTTTCTTCTTTCGTGTTGATAATTTCCAATTTTTTGGTTTATTGTTGTTATTACTATAGAAGACTTGAAGGATTTCTTATCTTAATCTTTTGTTCGTTCGTTTTTGTTTTTTATTTCAAGAGTTTTGTTACTGACAAAACGATAATAATAAAGCATGTGACGAACGGAATCTCTGTGTATCTGGCATGAAAACGAAGAATCCGTCCAAAAAAATGAATAATTACACGATCGATCGATCGTCATTCGTAGAAGAGAAAAAAACGAAAGATTATGAATAGAATCTCAAAATGAATTGCTTCATATATTGTTTGTTTTCATTGTTTTTTATTTTTCGTTTGCTTTTATCTGCCCAGGCGAGCAAAAAATAAGGGGTGACGCCCGACATGACTAGTCTAAATTGTCCGTAGTACCCGTCTGGACTAGTCTAAAATGTCTGCACTGCCGTTTGGACTAGTCTGAAATGATTTGCAGCTAGTCAGGACTAGTCGTCTTCACGAGAAACGTCTTGCATCTAAAATAGACTAGTCCAAAACATGCTCTAATCTTGTCATGGCTAGTCCGTTTTGTATGTGCATACTGTCCAGACGCGTCAACTTGAAGGCAAAAACTAGAAGAAACGGAGGCGATAGGTGGATTCGAACATTCAACCCGACAATATTGGATACCTGACTAGTCTGAACTGTTTTCAATAGGTAACGCGGACAAGTATGAAGAGCCATCTATATTGGTCCTGACTAGTCGTTTTCGAGAAAGTAATGCTAATTCTGGCCCAGGCTAGTCTATCCTCCCAAACAATCTTTATTGCTTGGACTTAATCATTCGGACAATTCGTTTAGACTAGTTTGTATTGAGACTAGAACGATGTATCTAACGAGAGTTGGCTATTTATGTCCTTTTAAATTTTTAAATTGTAATAACAATCAAGAATAATTTTATTCGAAAAATTAATTTTAATGCATTGATATGGGGATATTATTTTATTTCAATATAAAACCTAATGATTTGAATTTAAAAATGGATTTAAACGGTAGAATCATAGTTCATTTGCAAATTTAAATAGGAAATATTTTAAATTAAGATAAACATAAACATAAACCATGAGATGAAAAGCAAGATCTTTTTTTGAAATGCATACTGTTATTTTGATTTTGATTTAAATTTTAATTGTTTTTTGCAATAGAAAATAACTTTTTCCAAATGTCGATAATCAAAAAAAAATTCTGTTGAAGGAAATTAAAAAAATTCTGAATTAATTTTGCTTAGCTTTATTTAACTAATTTTCGATTTTATTACAAGTAATTTCTATAAATATTAAAACTTGAGAAAACGCAGAGTTAAACTGTAGTAATTAGTGTCTTCAGATGTGTGTTGACATGTAAAAGTTGATCACTAGATCATATGGCTCAATCGAGTAGACGACGAGTGAGTAACACATGGTATGCATGTACGAATCTAACTTTCTGCACATATTTCTATCATTTACACTAGCCCGAACTAGACCGCTACATAAGACTGAAACCTAATAAATGTCGCGTCACAGGCGTTCTGCTTTTTTTAATTTAAAATCTATTTTCGGACGGGATACCCAGACAGGGTTAAAGATTCCAAACCATTTTGGACTAGTCATGTAGTAGGACTTTTTGAGAAAAAGACTAGACATGACACATAGTCACGACTAGAAAAATGACTAGTCTTTTTACCCGTCCTTTGCTCGCCTGGGTGGTCTCATTAGAAAATTCTATTATCTTTGTCTATATTTCTATGTGCAAGATATCTTGAATCAATAAAATAGGCCTCTTACCAAAAGACAAACCAAAATGAAAAAGAAAAAAAGAAGCTACTCGTTTCTATTGTGACCTTTTTTCTAGCAAAGTATTTACTTTAATCATAACACACTAAATTAAAATGTGTCATGTTTATGTGTAGTGATTTATTATGTTGTGCGCTCCAGCACAAAAAAGTGTCGTACCTTGAATGTGTCGCATATGAATTTGTCGCGTTCTGTCTGTCGACTATTCATCCACCCTTCTGTTATGCACACATAGCAATATATAAACAACGCAGTTGAATGTACGAAAGATAAATTTTCAAAACATTCTTCTTTTCTAGATTATTTCTCAATCATTTTTTAATCGAGAAAATGCCAATTTCGATCAATGATCGAGAGAGCAGTACCCCGAAATGGTCTGATGTAAATCGGACCGACTCGAGATCGGCCAGATCTCAGGATATGACCCGTCTGAATTATTCAGGATACGAATAAATAAATGAAAATAAATTGAAAAAAAAATCGAAATATGCTTTTCCAAAAGAACCAATGAAAAATGTGTCGTGGTCTTGCTGGCCAAAATGTGTTGCAACGAGCACCACGTGTCGTGCTTTAATGTGTCGTAAATCACGACACATCCGACATATTTTAACTTAGTGTGAATACAGTGTGAAAGCAAGAAAGAAAGCAAATTCCTTTTTTAATTAATGTAAAAATGTTTAAAACATATTTTTTTTCTGAAGATACAATAGAAGTTTCTTTAGTTTTTCGATAGAGATCATTCTCTTTTTTTGTTGAATTGGTTGTTTTGCTCAAGTCATTATGTTTTGTTATCTTTTGAAGTTTGCATCGCTACCTCAACGAGACGAGGAAGAAGCAGAAGGACAAACAAAGATGACCTTATATAATAAAATTAATCAATGTTATTTGCATTGTTCTCAAGGTTTTTTCCTACATCGTCATTGTAAGCAGATAGTAAGAATGAGCAACGAAATAATATCACGTGTGGATGTAAGTTTGGGTGTGTCTGTTTTTTTTTCATCACGCCAATATTTACAGATATTATGCTAACAGATTTTCACTAATAACGAATGTATTTTATTTATGTGAGGAGATATGAATAAAAACATGATTTGTTTCTCATTATTTCTAATATTATATATAATAAGATATTTATAGAATCAAAAATGTTTGTTCTTGTTATGTGTATATAATTATATACAACTAAATGTTATTTTGTATTATCCGTAAAATTGATGTATTGCGATCAAAAACCGTTGTAAATAGCTGAAAGACGTTTATTTTTGTAGAGAATTGTTTGTTTTATCGTTCTTAATAACTCAAACAGAATTGTAAATGCAAATAGTAGGAGCTGAAAAATTTGGATTTTTGTACTCAAATCACTATTTCGATTCTTCTTAGCATTTACGGCAGCAGAAAAAATTGAACAATAAATCTAATCAAATAATTTTCGAAGCCACTGTATATTAGCGATGTCCATGAAAACAGTGCCACACTACCACTGGAATGGCGTCAGCGGCTTCTTTTTCAGGAAGATTGTAAAATTACACGAATTTCCATTCGATTTGAGTGTCTACAAGTTCAACAGTCACAATTTTGACGAATATGATGAATTCAATCTAACTGTGCTATTTTAACACAGAGACGAAAGTAATTGTCGAATAATTTCTCGAAAACCACCATGGCAGCGGCAGCTTTCCAGCCACGATAGACATCTCATTAACCCTTCGAATACCATGCATGGACATCTTTGTCCATATGAGTAAAAAATTACTATTTTTTGGCGAAAAATTCAGCTAATCGATATCAACTTTTTAGAGTGTAAATTTTTTTAAGCTCTTTCATCTGCCAAATACATCCTTTTCATCAAAGTTCCATTTTTTCTTGAAGAAACAACGTTTTCTTCTACATGAAAAAAGTTCATGTTATAGTATGATTCACCTATATATGTTCTTTCCTTTGTTCCACCTTTGGTATATTCCAACTGCTTTCTTCTTATTATTTTGGCGTATGATTTTTCTCATATGTTCATGATTATTTCCAAGTCCTTTCAAAACTTTCCTAGCTTGTTTACCAATATATATAATGTACATTTTTTAAAAATCGATCATTTTACTTGCAACCAGCTAACTCGATTCTCGCGTTATTAGTTCGAAAATATTTTAATATTCATATTGTAAATAAAATTTATAAAATGACCGAATATGATGACATTACAAATATCCCATCCATAGTTGTGTGTGAAATGTGTGGCGAGAATCCTAATATGAGAGATTATTTAAAATATAAATAATAAAGTTGAGTAGAGCTGAATTTTTTATGATTTATATATATGGACAAAAATGTCCTTGCATGATATTCCACGAAAATTTTTTCGCACGGTATTCAAAGGGTTAATACAAGAAAAAAAAATTGTAAAAAATCGATTATAATCTTCGATTTAATCAATACAAATCGGAGTTTCTGGATTTTCATCGATTAATTACGCTCAAGATCGATTACAATTACGTATCTATTGATTTTTCTGCTAATTTTTTAACACGGGCTGCTGTTCAATTTTATTTACAAAACTATTTCTAGAAATATGTCACATACAGCTGTACAATTTTTTTTTCACAAAATCGCAAAAAAGAGTTCTTGTTCACATTGAACATAGTGCTCTTCTTGATTGGTATATGTAAGACATGATAGAATGAGGGAGAGAGCCGTGTCTAAAGTGAACAAGCATCCATAATCTCTATCAATAATATACTGCATATGTTCTAAAATAGAAGTTTTTCAAAAAAGATCTTATTCCCAGTGCATTAGTGGATATCCGTGTCGATATTGATTTCATAATTGACGCATATGTATTCACAGACAAAATGTTTCATTTTTTCGTTGGTGACCATAACCGTCTCTATAGGAAAGAAAAAATATATATAACTGACTTTCTCAATGTTTCATTGAATGAATGCTTTTTTTTCTTCTTTTTTGACCGTTTGACTCTATTCGTTGTTGAATAAATGAATAGAATGAACAAGGAAAATAGTGTTCTTATAAAATGAAAAATATTAACAGTTAACAAATACTTTAAACAAACTTTAGAATAAAACTAATATCAATAAATACATTCTTCTTGTTCTACGTTGTAATCTTCTAAAATCATTAGAAGAATTACAAAAATGAATAATAACATCCAAAATAATATTGGCTATTTGTTTGAGTACAGTGATAACATTTACATTTCATGCCGTTTTAAATGATAAACGAGCTAATAATTCGCTCTTTCAACATATCAGTGCTGACACCTTCTATCATAGTCATCTATCTTTAGCTTGTCTGATTAATCAATGTGGTACGTATTCTTTGAAAAACAATTTTTCTATACTATGTTTGATTTACATAGGTAACACATCTTGTGCATTCCTTTTAAGTAAAGATGACAAAGTAAAGATGTTTATCTTGGCGCATTTTCCACTCGTCTTCATTGCATTAATATGGTACTATGGATTGAAAATATTACCTTGTATATTATTAGAAATATTCACAATGTTGAATGTATGGTTGTTCGCTCGTTATTGGCAAAGCTTTCAGCTGTGGTATTCAACAGATGTATTTACTGTCTATATTCTTATCTGGCAATTCAGTTATCTTATTTTGCAATGGTGCTATCATAGACTTTCATGGCCTTCTATAATTCTTTATCAAGCATCAATATGTATATTATCAGCTATTAAAGCATTCATATTTTATGATTTGTTTTCTCGTTATTTTCCTGCAATTATTCTTGTTTTGTTTTGGATTTCTTCTTTGAATGATATGTAAGTAAATATGGATGTATGTCAAAATACATTCAGAGAAAATATCGTATAAAATTTATCCATTATCCATTTTTGTCGTGCTATTTATAATGTTGATCATATAAAGAATATATTGTCATGTTTAACAAAGTATTATCTTCGGAAGATTTAAAACAATCATCGTTTCTAGATTTGACAACATTCATTATTTTCAAATCAAAATTTAGACTTAAAACATGTTGTAATAGAAGATGATATCCATTAATAGAAATAATAGTTATTTATTAGTATAAGAAGATTTATTTCTTATATTTATGAGAAAAAAAAATGAAGATTTCTTATTTCAGTTGATATCTTTAAAAATGATCGAATATATTTTTTTCGAATAACTAATGTATTCCTTTAATAATAATTTTTTTCTGTTTTAATATTTGTTTATCTTTTTTATGCAGCTTTCAATGTTTGTATTATCATGGTCAATTTCGTCATTTCAATAAACAGACTTCAACGAATTTTTTTATGCCAACATACCCAGGATTTTTATCGTTTTGTTATTATATGCATGATATTGAAGATGGAATAGATACAAACAGAACTTTGGAAATTATAGGTGGTGGTGATTTTGTAATGTATAATCTGCTTCTTCTATGACTACTATCACCATTATGACAAATAATAATACAAATGTGGGTGCTTTTCGGTTTAATTATCAACATACAGCTTAGTATTATGATCACGAATTGGATTGGATCTCTTTGGAATGAAAATCTTATGCCAGCTGTACCTATTCCTGTAATCATTGTTTCAACATATGCTATTATTATTGATTTATTAGAAAAAGTTTCATTGTAGATAATAATATGCTAGGTTAAATGACAATATTGTGCATGAAATAAATTCATTTTGGTTGATCGAATGGCTGAACTACATATATTATTCTATGATATTTATAAATGTTATGTGATTATATATTTTAAATGAAAAAAATCATTTCAAGAAAAATTCCTTTTAAACAATATTAGAAAAATGAATCTATTTGTATAGAACTCTAAAAAATAATTTCTAAGTTGATTGATTGTATAATAGTTTCAATGATATGTTTGAATAATATTGTCAAAATTGCTGTTGATTGATGAATTTCATTAAAATTCATCGATAGAGTATGTATTTGTTGTTCGAAGAGTAACAAAACTTTATCGATTATCAAATAGAAACTTAGTTTATTGATGTTTTAAAGTACATTTTTTCAACAATGGATAGAAGAATTTTTTATTTTTTTTAACTATTTAAGTTATTACTTTAACTGTTAAGGATAATTTAATATTGATAGAAAGTTCATTGAAATCTATTTGTGATGGAAATTTGAAGCGAAGACCCTGATATAAATATAGTCTTTGTAAGAAAACGCATATGTCTGCTACTACTATGTTTGTGAAATATAGAATTAACATTGTCATAATTTTTCATTAGAGAGATACTTATAGTCTATTTTTCAACTTAATTACGTTTTCATAGACTTCAATTTTATCAGTTTATACATGAAGATCTTCAGAAAGACACAATGATCTTCATAGTACTTAAAGATTTTTCAGACAAGTTTATTTTTTCTATTTGCCACCAGCAAATTTTTAAATAGTTGTAATAAATCGATAAATATCTTGACCTTAGATATACATAAAAATTCATCGAACCTTGATTTATTATTTATTTATGAAAGAAAACTTCGATGAAATGTGAAAGTGATCGTGACTGTCATCACATGTGACTTTTTCTTTCTTTTAGGAAAGAAAATAAACATATATATATATATATAAACACTGATTTTATTATAATCACTTTCACATTTATTCATCAAAGTTTTTCTTATTAGAAATAGATAAACAAACACTTGAACAAATTTATACATAGAACGTCTATACAGACTATCAGATCATATTAAAACCGACTGTTATCAGAAAAGAACAGTTATAATCGAGTTAAACTGATAAATTACAAAACCAATCCTACCTCATATACACAAATGCATCAAAACCCATCACATCATCATTTGTTGCTTGATAAATGTGTTAAAACTTCACTACATAAAAAGAAACCCTTTTTAATCAATTAAATGTTTTTTCCTCATATCAACGAGTTATAATCCACTATTTTACTCCATTCTTCTCTCTCCACGCATCAAAGTGTAATTTGGAGCGTTTACTCGTCTGCATACGTATCATTTGATAAAACAGAACTGAAGTCATTGCATGAAAAAATCACAGAGATGTGCAAAAAATATTGAATAGGTAGTTCTTCACAGAAAAGACATAAAAAATGACTTTTATAGAATTTTTTCAATATTTTCATCGATGTTCTACTTTCGTACAGTTGATACAAATTGAGTGAAGTTTCTGTTCAAGAATAGCTTAGACGTTACTCTTTAAATATATATATGGGGGGTGTCCAGTCTGGCTGGAGGCCCCATTATTTTTATTTTAAAAAAATTAGTGTTTGTATTTAAACTCCTTTGAACTTTTCTAAACATGAAAAGGAAAGAAATCTATGCAAAATATGTAGTATCTCTTGGTTAATAGACTTACTGGTGTAGAGAAAGGTAATATTATGCCATAGTTAGTAAAAAAGAAGTTTAAGAATACTACAAAATTAAAAGTAAATAGAAAAAGACAAAGACTAATAGTAGAACGGATACATTTGTGGTTGTTGTGTTATAGGATTCATTGAATAGTATGGCATTTGTGATTGTTGATATTCAGGAACGAATTGACCTGCGTTAGTCAACATCATTTCTTGTTGATGTCCTTGATATCGTCCCATGCGTTGTATATCTTGCGATAGTTGAGCACGTTGAAGACGACGTGCAATGTCAGCAGGACTTGAAGATACTGGTGGAATAAATGGCACATGTGACGAAGATCCTGATCGTATCAATTGAGGTGAAAGCGATTGTTGACGATAATGAGCTGGACTACTTGATCGATATCGATCAAAATATGTAGGTGAACCAGCTCGTGAAAAATAGTCGCCTGAACTATTGAAATATGGTTTATGAGATCTGGATCGATATGAACCTAATGAAGGAGCAATGAAATTTAACGGAGGAGAATGTTGAAGATATCCTCCCATTGGAAATTTCGCTCCTTCATCGAAGTAATTTTCTTCGATTGACATTGGAACATAATATCGATTATACATATCTATTTGTTCATATGGATTGATTGCACCATAAGCTTGGTTTTCGCTTTCTACTGAGGCTAAATATCGTGCTGCTACTTCAGCACCCATTTGATATACAACATCGGGTATAGGTTCAGCACCTGGTTGTCCATAATAGTTTTTTTTCAGTCGAAAAACACGCATTGAAAGTTAACAAATATTGATGATGAATAAACCTCTTAATTTTCATTTTATTTATATGATATGAAATCAATCAAGCAAATCAAATAAAGAAAACTATCAATTAATAAATGAATAATAACAATTTATTTTTCGTTTTTGGTATAGGTTATTTTGAAAGAAAAGCAATCAATTCGAAAATGATATTTATTGTAAAGCGTATATCTATTAAACAAATGTTATATAATTGATTGATCATTTTCAGAAAAAAAATAATAAATAAATGAAGGACGACATTTTCTGATCCATATTATTGATAAAAACAAAATACACTCATCGTCACTTTTTTTTTTTATTCTATAAATTGATAACTTCACGGACAATTAGTCTATAACTGGCTCTATCATACATTATCATGGGTGTACACGCGTAATTTTTCTTTTTTTTTTAAATATAAATCAATATCAATCATATACATCTTCAATATGTACATTGATAAAAATGACGCAGTAAAATTACTCATAGATTTATCAGAAATGAAAATCTCAAACGTAAAAAAGAAAAAGACTAGGCATTTGTATGAGAGTGACAAAATTTGTTTCGGATGATCATTTGAGAAAAGATAAAAAATAACGAAAGAATAAAAAAAAAAATATGACTATTGTTCAAACGAATACTGACAATCGTCAAAAAGTATCATTTCCAAGACGAATAGCAAGTAAGTTTATATTAATTTATACATAACATAATATTTTCTAGGTCACAAGACAATTATAAGTCTTTAATATTATCAACAAATAATTGTATGTAGACAAACACATATATAAATATTAAATCACAGACTCAAGATACAGATTGTTCTCAACTTAAGTTTGACACTACCACTTGAAAGATACGCTTCTTTTAATACGATGAATTTTACGATGTCGGATCGATTCACATATATATATATATATATGTATATTTGAGTCTATTTTTATCATTTGGCTGATTTGAGCTGCGCAAGGGCATAACACATGAATAAAAAAAGAAATGATGAAGAATAAAAACGAAGAGATCGATCGAACATATAAGCATACGTGAGGATCAAATTTCCTTTTTTACTCTTTTTCCTTCTCCGCTTTGTGCCTATTTGTTCGCAATCGAGGACGAGCGTTCACTTGTTGTGCCGACGAATGAAGTGTGTTGGTATCTAATTCTTACAAACAAAAAAAAACCTCGTACCGAACAAGTAAGTAAGGAGCGAAAAGAAAAGAATGTACATATATATATGTATACATGCGATATCTGAGTCAATTCAACTAGTTTTAATGTTATTGA